CTACAGATGAAAATACGCTTAGGGTGAATTTTTTACTCGATCTAACTTATACAAATTGATGTTAAAATGCGACCCTTAGCTTTGAGAGATAGATCATTTGGAATCTGAATTCGAGAAATAATTTAAGGGATTCGCATTGCCTAGTCATTTCCAAAGCAACAATAAGAAGTTTCAATCTGGCCACATTATTCTCCATGAGAAGTTTCGATCGAATTATAATATAAGCAAATTTGGCGATGATTTTATTAGCCATTGACTGAAGAGTCACTTTCTTCGGAGTACCTTTAAATAAGGAGACATCAAAGGATTATTCAGTTGCATTTTTGAGTTATGGTGATTTGAGTATAGATCTTGAGTTGAATTTGAGTTATAATTTGAGTTGAAGTTGTAACTTGAGTTTGTGTTTGGATGTGCACATTTGAGTTATGATTTGAATTGAGAATCTATTTAAGTTTGTGTTTGAGTGGGTCAAAACTTGAATTTGTATTTAAATAATATTTTAATAAAAACTCGATGGTGATGAAAAATTTTAATAGGGTATATGGGTAGGGTTTTATTCGTCTCTTCATTGTGAACGCATAAATAAAATCATCTCAAACAGAATTAAAATGGAAAAGTTGTGATGTTTTTAAGAATATAAAAAATATTGTTCATTAACTTGAGTTTGAATCTAAGAACTTGAGTTGAAGGAGAAACTTGAACTCAGATTTTAGCCCTAAACTCAAGTTAAAACTCGAGTTAAAACTCAAGTTAAAACTCAAATTTTACAAACGAACATGAACTTAAATAAAATTGTAACTTTTGTTCAAACTTTTTTTGAGTTTTACTCTAAAAGAACAAGTCCCAAGGTTTTAAAACAGAAGAGATACCTGCCACGTAGACAATCGATGAAGAATAGCTATAGCCGGATGATTAGAGATATACTTTCCAAAAAGGATGTCTGTTTTTTTAGCATGTTAATCTTCTATCCCAATAAAGATTTTAGGATTCAAAAATCACCTTTAGACAAGCAATGTTTTTATTTAGAGCACATTTATGAGTTGTTTAGTTCGCTGATTTGAGTTTTAATTCGAGTTGAGATATGACTTTATGTGAGAGTTTTTTACTGTAAGAAAAAAGTTAGATGTGATTGTTTCTGAGAGCTTTTTACTGTAGCAAAACTCGAATCGGTAAAATGAACTGGGCCTTAGTATACTGGTTCTAGAATCCGGAACCATGATTCTAGTTTAAATTAGTGTTTGTTTACAAAAAGTAAAAAATGGTTCCGATTTGACTCATCTATAATCAGTGTTTAGTTTGAATGGTTCTGATTCAATGTTTGAATCTTAATGTGATATTTTAAACCAGAATCACCCATAATTTTAAAACTACCCTCTCATTTGGTTTTGGGTGGTTCAAACTATTAATTCTGATTCTAATTTCAGAACCAGGATTTAGACCCAAAATTATAAATCATCATTCTGATTTTAAAATTAAAACTAAAATCACCTCAATTTAAACCTTCGTACTAAACGAAACCTTAATACTCCTACAAAAGAAGAATATTATCTGCAGAAGGTAGATGGGATACGTACCGCCTCGGTGAGAGAAAATTGTTGTTAAGATTTCTTCAACAACTTTCCTATGCATGAAATGACTCAGAAAATCATCACCAACACAGACAAGAATCGAAGACAAAGGATCTACCAAACCATATTTGAAAAACCCCTATGGAGAACCATTAATAACGATGGACAATGGCGGAGCTATTCAAGGACAAGTGGGGCGCCCCCACTCATTTTTTTTAAAAAATAAAATTTAACCCTTAAAAAATTTAAACTTTTGCCCTCACTAAAATTTTATTTTTCCATACATGCGCCCTACTATTTTTTTTTAATTTTATTTCTACATTATTTATACAACTTTACTCCTTTTGGCTTTACTCATGAGCTATTGTAATATGTACTATGATTTATATATGAAAACTTTTTATGGTATTTCTTTTAATCTTTATACCATGCATTTTGAGGTTAAAAAATGTATACTTTATATTTTAAAATGTATTACATTTATACATTTTAAATTCATATTAAATACTTACATTTTTTCAGTCAAAAGTTGATTTTCAATATGAAAATATCCACATATCCTCATATTTTACAATTGACTCTTCCTTTTTCAAAAAAAAAAATTATGGATGACATTTAGTGTCTTTAAGTGGTTTAAAATGGACTGTGGTTGATGAAAGGCAAGAAATTAGCATATATTAGAAATCTGAAAGTATAAATATGGTCAGCTCTAAAATATAATATTGTATATTTTTTAGCATTTTAAGTATAAAAATGAAAAAAAAGCCTTTTATGGTAGGATATCCTTATCGATCTAATCAAAATCACATTAAAATTAAAAAAATATACCTAACAAATATATATATATATATATATATCAACAGTTTTCTTTTTCCACATTATATAATTCTTATATGTGTTTGAGACATTACAATTTTTTTTGTCTGTTCTTTTATATATATATATATATATATATATTTTTTTTTTTTCAACTTTGGAGTTTTCTTTTTTAATTGTATTTGTGGAACAATAATGCAGGCAATAAAGGTGCTTAACATGATTAAGCTATTTGGGAAACCAATACGTGTGAATAAGGTATTTTCATTTCCAAGCTAGTACCTTTCATATTTCTATGAAATATAAACCTGATAGAAATTTACATAGCTTCAATAAGTTATAAAAAATTGTTATGTACTTATGTGATGTGCAACTTTGATTGAGTCTGTGGTCTAATTTCTTCCTAGGCATCTCAAGATAAAAAGAGTTTGGATGTGGGGGCGAACCTCTTCATCGGAAACCTTGACCCCGTAAGTACTAAAAAATGGTAAAAATTTGTATACCAATGTTAATTCTATACTACCAGGTTTAAACTTTGTAACTTGTTCTATTCTTTTCTGGCAGGACGTAGATGAGAAACTTCTTTATGATACTTTTAGTGCTTTCGGAGTCATCGTTACAAATCCAAAGGTATGCTTTACTCATACATTGGCATACAATTCATGAGCTGTTTTGTTGAATTGTCAAAATTTTTGGCGAATATTATTATATTAGAAGAAGAGTGGAAACAAAAGGAGATAAGTAATTATGTATTATCCAGTCATGCAGTTTATCGTCATTTATGCAAGTTACTGTTGCTAAACCTTTTCATGCTTACGGAATTTGCAAGTGCTGGTACGCATATTATCTAGTCTATCTTTTACATGTCTGAATGACAGTGCATTTTCTTGTTTTTTAGCTTTTACTAAATTCAACAAATGTGTATGAATTGGCTAAGCCTAAAACTTGTACATATTATGTTTTCGCTTATATATATATATAGCACTACGCCCCCATTAACATTAAAGGCTAGCTCTGCCACTAACGATGGATAAACTGGCCTAGTTAAAAATTTCTGAATCCAAGATAGGAACAAAGTAGAAAAACCAAAAGTATTTCCTATGTTAAAATCTTCTGTGTGTTAGGAATTCAGATTTTCCGGAGGGGGGAAAAAAGGAAAAACAAATAGAAAGGGAAAAATATGAAGTAAATTTTTAATAAAATCTTTTCCGATGTAAAACTATATTCATTTTCAAGAAATTATTTTTAAAAATTTAGCATTTGAGTTAGAAAATCATTCTCTATTGTAATATTATGTTTAATTTAAAAAAATTTATAATTTTTTTTTAAATATTAAATTTTGTAGATATTATATTTCGTGCTAAGTTTAACTAGCACCTAATGTCGTATGACAAATTTTGATATTTAGGCATTGTTCACTTTGCGGATTTGATTTTTCAATTTAAGTTAAAATATTATATTTTTCTGAGAGTTTTTAACTATAGTAGAAAAAGTTAAATGTGGCATTTTTAGAGAGCTTTTAATTATAAAAACCTAAAATTGAAAACTCAAATTAGTAAAATGAACAAAGTCTTAGTTACTTACCAACCAACGTGTTGAATTTTTTTTTAAAATTTATTGAAAAAATTAGTTAATCGAAAATATTGTTATGGACTGAAGTACAAAATAAACAATATGTCGAATATGCCATTTTATTATTTGTCATGTCATATATGACATTAGTATTCATATTTACATTTGAGATTTTTTAAGTATATTAAATATAGATGTAGACTATATATACATTTGTATTCATTTTCGTCGTAATTTATATTTATTCAATTTCATTTTTTTGGATAATTTACATAAAAAGTCCCTTAACTTTTTAGTAAGTAATATTTTAATTTTTAATTTTTAATTTTAACAAAAACGATCCTCAAAATTTTAAAATATTAACAATAAGTCATTTCCATTCATTTCGTTAAATTTATCACGCACGTGACCATCTCGTGTTAATGAAAATACAAGAATGCGCTCATATCTAAAACAAAAAGGGGAAAAAAGAAAAATTCTTGGACAAGAAACCTGCAAGCCCTCCGTTCTATTTCCGGCGAACCCACTGTACTTCCCTCCCTCTCCGGCGAAACCCATTACAATCCCTCTATGGAGAAACCGACCACCCCGACACCCCTCCATTCCGTCTTCAGCGACCCCCCTTCGGCGACTCATCACACCGTTCGCTACAAACCCCACGACCTCCCCTCCGCTGCAGCCTTCTCCGTCGTAGGCCTCCCCGCCGCGATCCCAGATCTCCATTGCGATAGCCAGATCTATGCGAACCCAGAAGGCCGCCGGCCGCCGCCAATATCTCGTTGCTCGCCGCTCTGGTATCTTCTTTGTAATTAATTCCCAATAAATAACAAACCAAAAAGGTAGTCACTACCTTACGTCTTTAGTCACCACATCACTGCAATTTTTTTGTATTCATTTTACCGATATACCCTTGTACATCAGAAATGGATTTGTTTAAGAATAAATATTCAAAAATGGAGCTTTTTTTTTTTTTTTTTGGAGCAAAAAAATGGGGTTGTATAAGCATTTTGGAATTTCGACCAAGATGAATTATATATTTGTTTCTGGGATTTTTTTTTAAGGAAAGGGTTTTTCTAACTTGATTTTTGTTAAGTTGTAAATTATTATAATTTTACCGATTTACTCTTGTACATCAGAGCACATGCAAGTCATGTGATGCATTCGGTGAGAAAACGGAAATGGCTTAATTGTCAATGTTTTAAGAGTTTAAGGATTGTTTTTGTCAAAATTAAAAGAAGAGGGACCAAAATATTACTTACTAAAGAGTTAAGGGACTACCGGTGCAAATTAAATTTTTTTTTCGATATCAGGATCTCGTACGATTCATTTCTTAATAATTACATGCGTAGCGTAGTATTCTCTATATATTAATGTGATAAATTTGGATATAAATAACTCAATTTATGTTTACAAAGAGGTTCCTCTAGCTAATTACCCTTGTTTAATCACAACACACTACACTTTTCTCTTCGATCCTAACTTACATCAACAACAACAATAACAACAAGCCTTAATCCCAATTTAAATGGGGTCAGCTATATAAATTTCACTTTTTCACGCAGTTTTGTTCGAAGTTAGACTTTCCTGAAGGCCTAAATCTAAAATGTCATTTCTAACTACTTCGGTCCATGTAATTCTTTTGATCCTAACTTACATCGATGCAGAAAAATTTAACTTTAGGTAATTTTGATTATAATAGTTTTGACCTTCTATATTTTTGTATTTAATCTTCTTTTTATTAGTAAATTTGAGTGAGTGGCTAATTTGAATAAGGATGAGTTGCTGATGTGTGCCGGTCAGATAATATATGTTGTTGCTCCGTTTAGTAATTGTGATTGTGTTTGCTGCAGGCAAAACAAGCTCACATTTATGGCCGCAACAAAGAGTACTGCTGAAAATATTCCGCGACTGCTATATGTCAATCCTAACTTGGGATTTAGCCTTGAAGAAACTCCCGATTCGTCACTTAAAAAAATTATCAGTTAAGTAGCGACACTTAATCTAAACAATATTTATGTATAGAAAAGTTTTTGCTATGGTCCATCCAGCATATGTAACATATAAAAGTGAAACATGTAATGACACTCATCGAATGTAACATTGACATTGGAGAGGCGTAACATAGTCAATATTATATTTAATGACTATCATGTGACGTCTAATGTCGATGTTACATTAAATAAATGTCATGTTACATTGTTTACTTCTTCATATTATGTGGACCATAGCAAAACTCTACACACACATATATACATTATAACTCAAAGTAGAAAATGGATAGTATGTATTGGAGTACAAAATAAAATGTTACATATGCTATTTTATTACTTTTTGTGTCAAATATGACATTAATATTGGTATTTACATTTAAGTTTGGAAGAAAAATAATGTAGGACTTTAGTCTATCTAGCTTTGTAGGCTCAAAGAACCCTTGGAGTAAGGGAACTTAGTAAACCAACCACATACACAGAATCGTACTCAATTAATTATAAAATCCAATTAAGTTTCTTGGCACATTCTATATCAAAAGTGTTTGAAATGCAAACCAGCCCTGCAGAAACCTCTATTATAAGTAAAATATACCACCACATTCAACAATATTGAGAGAACTTTATATATATATATATATATATATATATATATATAAAATGCTTACGTATATATAATGCGGGATCGAACCATCGTTCCAAATGAAAGCTCACACCACTATACCCTACGTATTATTTGACCTATAGGACCAAGAGAACCACTAGTTATTTTGAAAACAAAAAACTACCAATAGAAGTAATACCATATAGCTGCAGACCACTTACGCTTAGCTGTAAAGAAATTAGAGGATAAGAAATCTAGAGAGAGGATGTTTTTGATATGAGAGAAACTGAGAATTGAAAGAACATTCTCATCGACTTGAATAATCTGTACAGCTTTGAGTAGTTAAATAAACTTTACAATTAACAGCCTTCTAACTAACTAGACCAATCAGGTCTTAACACGTGTGAGCTGCCAAAGCTAATAACTAACTGCTTAACACGTGTGAGACTTCTTAACAAGCTACAATAATATAAACATTGAGTGTGTTCATTTTAGCATAAACAACAATTAACTTGAAACTTAATGACAAAGAGGCGCGAGAGTTGCTTATCTTTAGTTTTCAACTAACATGAATGCCATTGATATTGTAACTTGTAAATGTGTTTTATGCTTTGAATACATCAAAACTCTGCTATGTACATTGATGAAGCGATTACTTAGCATTCCTTCTTTATCTTTTTTGGCTAGCTTTACATCATAGATATGCCCCTCTAGAGCATGCTGCAATAGAAGGTAATTGGGAAGTTGCTAAAAAGTTTTTGGATGATGACCCTAGCGCAAAAACAGCTAGGCTCGGACCCCGGTCGATGACTGCATTGCACGTTGCTGCTTTAAAAGGGCATGTACAATTTTTGAAGAACATGGTAGAATTGATGAATGAAGAGGACCTCGAAATTCGTGATGATCGTGACTATACCGCGCTCGAGTATGCTGTCATAATGGGGAACTTAGAGGCTGCAACAACGTTGATCAATAAAAATTGGAGATTACCAAATCTTTTGGACGCTGGTGGAGATTGTCCACTCGGCAATGCTGTTATTCAATCTGGCTTGGTGAGAAATGCAGAAATGGTATGGTATCTTGCCTCCATGACAGTCAATGAACAAGTCTTCACTACGAATCTTGTTCACGCCCTCGTCATAACTGGTTATGTTGGTAAGACTGTTTCTTCTTCTCGAAGGGCCAATTCTACATTAAAATATATAATATAACATACATGACATTTATTTTTTGTTGGTGGACCTTTTCAAAATCTTTCTTACATTTTAACTTAAGTAGTTTGTGTTTATTTAATTCTTTAATTTAGCTCGTTCCTTTTATTTAGATCATATTAGCAAGGCTAGTAATAGATTCAATTTCAAACTTCTCATCTAATATTAATATATCTTCTTAATTCATTAATGCAAAAATTGTACTGTCATTTTTCAATTCTTAAATCTATTATAGTACTAGAGTTAAAATTGATTCTTGGCCTCGAATCCTATCCTTTATTCCCCCTCTCTTCCGGCTTAGCCCCCTAACTTCTGTTGCTACACTTCGTGCGCTATACCTCTGCGTGCAACATGACCCAATAATCAATCCTTTTCAATCATCAACAAATTGGTACCAATTAGCTAATAAAATCATTCACGTGCACCACTTTTTCCCCTTCCTAAATGGGCGACAAAATTCACCCATTTTCCCTTTTAATAGCGTTTTCTCTTACAAAAATTTAAATTTAATTTTTTTACTATAGTGTTTTTTCTTACATAAAAAATATGAGTTATGACTTGAGTTGTGAAAAGAACACACTCATATATAATATCTTTAGGAAGTTAAAAAGCTAAAAGTCTTATATTAGAAATGTAAAAGGAAGATAAGTGCTTTATATGGAAATATATGCAATAAGAAAATACTAATTATGTGTGTATATGGTGCTACTATGCATCATGCGTGGGTGTTGGGCTTTGAGGGCGCTTTTAGAGGCGTACATACTCAACATCCAACCCAAGGAGCTGAGGAGCCTTCTTTTTAATCGTCGTAGCCTTCTAAATTAATTTAATTAGGACTGTTGATCTGATTGGTTACAATCCAATGGTCAGTTTAAATCTGAACTGTAGGTCAAATGGTTATGTCTTCAGATTAAACAACACCTTAAATGAAGTATTTCATACGCCTCAAACCCACCATTTTTATCCTACTTTTCTGTACCCAAAAAATTTTCCACCCCATTTTTTTTAAACATCTACCACACATCAATCATCTCCTACATCCAAGACCATAACGGCATAATTTAAAAAAAAAAAAAAAAAAAAAAAAAAAAAAAACCCACACCCCC